TTTTTTTAATTGGAACTCGTATAAGATGGAAAAATAGGTCACTGTGGCTTTTGGAAGACATTCGTATTTCTAAAGTCAAAGATTAATCCTTCCAATGTGAAAATGTTCAACTTCAGCTGAATATTGTATTAATGACTCAGCAATTACTATAAGGAGAGCTATGATTGGCATTGAAACAATCACTAAGTCCTCGGCTCTTTAAGTATGGAATACAAAGCACATAATGATAAATATCCAGGATGTTGCTGATCAGGTCAGAACATGTTAGAGGTCGCATATCACCACTGAAGGCTAGTAAAGCCACAAGTGTCATTAGAACGAAACAAACAAAAACCCAAAATTTAAACGTCAAAACCACCGCCGGCGATCACTCCCATGAGAATGACCAACTGCTAGAAGGAAGCATTCTCCACACGTACTTCACAGGTGAGGGAAGACCCTCTCTTCTCTAGCACAGACAGGTGGAATTTGATGACTGGATATACATTTTCCCACTTAATGTTTGCATTCATATGTCGTGAGAGACGAGCTTTTCAAGCTTAGGGGAATTCCTAACTCACTTTTAACTTTGCTTTGCTGGAACAGCTCCATGTCCTCCCTTTCTGCCTTGCATATACCTCATCTCTAAAGGAATCAAATGTCATTTTCAACGGATGTTTACAAGATGCTCATGTGAAAACTTCGAGCGTGCCGAGGAGACTCAGCTTCAAAAGAGATGCCTACGCCGTGACTAGAGGTCTTTCAGAGCCCATACAGTTCAAGCATTTGACTAAACATAGAGAATCCCCTGAATTTTAGAACCCCATATTCTTTGTGTGGCCCCAAAGAAATACCTTCCCCCAAATTTGGGCACTTAAGGTCATGGGCTTGGTTGAACTTTGATTCCTTACAGGACTGCATTCAGGGTTGAGAAGAAGAGATGGAAGTACTTTGAGAATGCTTCAGTAGGCACCAGGATGCTCTATGTTTCCATCTCTCAAAAGTTAATGAAATCGATAAGATACAACAACTGATCTTTATGCACATCCAGGAAAAGTGAAAGAAAAGAACCAAAGATAAAAAAGGGAAAAGGTCTAAGGGTCTGCATACACCATGAGCCTCACCTACCTGAGACCAGAAGAACTAGATGGTACCCAACTACTACTACTACCAACCACTCTGACCAGGGACACAATGGATGGTCCTGAATAGAATGGGGAGAGAGTGGCAGGAGAATGAGATACAGAACAAAACTCAAAATTGAGGGGGAAATAGGCCAAACTTGATAAGCAGCAACTGGAAGAACCCCAAAGTCTAAAGGCCTGGGACAGTCTTTAAACGTGGAGCTTCTGTCGTGCTTGGAGTTCACCTGCTGCCAAAAGGCAGAATGGCTCAGAAAACAAGTCACATCACTCATGAGCACTGTGTTCCTCTATACAATCATCCAAAGGAGACTTAAGAGCCGACAGTTATCCCAGACCAGAGATGAGACAGCCAGGGGCAGACAAGGCAGCTAAATGAATGGACCGAGAACCACCAGAGAGGAGAGAAGGGGAAAGCTGACACACGGTGGAAAATGCCAACCATGTCACAGAATAAGATATATATAGAAATGGTTAGATGAGAACCCAATTTTCAATATCATTTCCCCCAAATGAAAATAAAATATCTTTTAAAAGTTAATGAACCAAATTCTCTCCCTCTGAGCTAACATTACAAAGGAAGAACACTTGCTTTGCGTGATAAATCTCTCTCTAAGGACATGTCTCCAGGACCAGCATGTCTAAGGCAAGACACTAAAGGATTCCCGCTAAAGTGTGTTTGCTATTCCCTGAGGGAGCCCTGGTGGTGTAGTGGTCATGCTTTGGGCTGAGATCCACATGGTCCGCCGTTCAAAACCACTAGTTCTGTGGGAGAAAGACCGGGCTTTCCACGCCCTCGCCAGGAACAGTTTGGGAAACCTGCAGGGAGTGGCTATGAGTTAGCATTGGTTCGATGGCAGTGAGAGCTGAGTTCATCACTCCGACTAGTTTAACACAATTGCTGAATCCTCACCACTGCAAAACACCAAGAAAATGAACATGGAGAACCGTCACAGTATCATTCTTTTCCACCTTTTATTTTTTTACCCAGGAAGCCAACAGAAACATCACTAAAATGAGCAAAATCAAGTTCAGTGACATGGCCGTTACAAAACAAGTACATAAAAGCCAATGCTTTTATTTCTGCCAGCAACAACTGGGGAGACATATGAAAAAGATTCTGTTTCCAATAGCCTCAAAAGATAAGTATCAAGAAATAAACAGTAAAAATATACATATATATATATATATACCACACACACACACTATATATATATACTATACCTACAAGAGACGACTATACAGCTCACCCGCAGAATATCAAGTCAGAGAGAGGACACCCAGGTTCATGAGGGCCAGCAGCCAACACAGAGACGCAGACGGGCTTTTGCCAAGGTGCCGATTCTCCCCAGTGTAATTACTGAGGCTGTAATGTGATGGTCTTGGTAGGAGGTAGGAAACCTGACAGCTCTTGTGAAAGAAGAAGGAGGTGAGCACAGAAAACAAGTACCAGGAGGCTCACTGTGGACTGGCTGCCCCCTGCAACAGCGGCATTGCCGTAATTCAAACGGAATCCCCAGCTTTAATGATTAGGAGGCTGCTTTTGAAGCATGGATTGGCAGATGAGCAATAGAACCAGTAAATGTTCAAAAGAAAGAAGGCTGAGATCGGCAAAGTATAAGGAAGGAAACATCAAACCTCACATCTTCTCCTAAAAACATCGTCACAAGTCACTTCGATTACTTTGAACATGCAACAGCTAATCAACAAATGACAGAACACGCTCGATCGCAATCAGTAATCAAAGAAACATCCATTGAAAACACCAGATGCGCTGATCGATTTTCAAGTGTGAAAGGAGAAAATAATTAGAGCAAGGAAAAGAGAGATTGATTGATTGATTGATTGATTGATTGATGATTGATCGATTGATTGAGGCAGTATCTATCGAAAACCGAAACTACTACCACCACTAATACTAATTCAGGAACTGATCCTCAGGGAACTCGCAGAGTTTCCACTGAAGTTCCAAGGATGACTACTACCAAACACAAACCAACCCTCAGCCGTCCAGGCCGACTGAGGGCGTCCGGATAGGAGGCGTGGAACTGCTCCTGGGGGCTTCTGAAACTGCGGAACGGAGGCGGAAAGCCCTGTCTTTTCAAACTGCAGGCCTTGCAGATCACAGCCCAAGTTGTAATCACTGCGCCCCCATGGCTCCATGACCACTACAGTATCATTTATACCAACACTGAAGTGTAAGCTGTAAGGGAGTCAATACGTTACAAAAAGTATCTGTAAAAGGACACCAGAAGGCTGGAATACAATCACACAGTAACAAATTCTCTCTGTAAAATCACTAGTCATTTCATTTTACTTGCTCACATTCTCAAATTGTTCTACTGCAGGGGCAGTGAGTTATTTAAAGTGGCTCTTCTAGCTAAAGTCTCCAGTTCCCACCAAAGGACCTTTCCCTGCATGGGTATGGTAGAAGGTAGGGGGAGATACTCAAAAAATTCACTTGTAATGGCAAACAGGATTCCCTGGATTACCAGCCTGCTGTGCATGAAATGATCCCTCTGAGAAGCAGGAGGAGGGAGTCTCATGAACAGCAAGAGGCAGGAGTGGAGCAAGTCCTCTGGACCCAAGATCCCTGCACCTGGATTCAGAAGACACTATCCGACCAGAGGAGTAGCATTAGAACCAGGAACCAGAGCATGGAACAGAGAGATGGGCCTCGCAAGAACTTTTGTGCAGGAGGCAGGCTTGCAGAATGGGGTGCCTCTGGGCACTTAATCGGGGAAGTTGGACTTGCTGACCCATGGAAGTGGAGCTAAGTGCCTTTGAGCTGAGGTTTACTGGAGTGGGGTGCCTCTGGGGACTTAACGCAGAGAGCTGAGTTTGCTGACCCACAGAGCTTACGCAGAATGCTGGCAGGGTGAGGCTGAGAGTGGAATGGTCTGCCCCTCTGAGTATTTGTTAGCAGACCTGATGGAACTTTGTCACATGTCCAGTAAACAACTCCACCCTGCGCATTTCTCACTGGCATTAAGACTTATTAACTCCCTAATAAGCCCTTTCTTCATGAATTCTGTCTGTGAGACCTATGTACCCATTGAAATGGATGTTAGAGCCCAGAGAAGTAAAATAGGACACTCAGGAAGGCCACTCATCAACAATACGAATACTATTTTTCTGACGTCAGTTTCAAATGCTGCTTCATCAGTCTAATAAGCAAGTGGGTGCCTCGAGCCTCTCTCTGAGCATGCTGTGAGGACTCTCCGGCCCTCTAACCCCGTGGCAGACAGGACTCCTAGGGCCTTGCCAGTGGAAGACAGGGAGCCACACGTGGGCTGGGGCTGTGGTGCACTGACCATGTGCTCAGCCCGCAGCATGCCCCAGCACACACAAGGCACCTAGTGAACACCGGCTAGAACAGATGAACTGGTGGGGTACGTGCTGGGCTGCTACCTGCGAGGTCAGTAGTTTGAACCCACTCTTCAGGAGAAAGAGGCATCTTTTTGCGTCAGAATTCCACAGAAGTACTTCCCCTCTGTATGAGTTAGAATGGACTCAATAGCAATGGGTTTGGTTACTGGTTTGGCTGGATGCACAAACAAAAGAATGAAGGAGTCTTATAATTCAACTTCTCTAGAGGTCTCTCTCATTTCCTGCCGAGTCGATTCCAACTCACAGTGCCCCCACAGGGCAGAGGAGCAGGGCGGCACCGGGTTTCCTAGGCCGTACACAGCCACAGCGTCCTCCTGTGAGCGGCCAATAGGCATGAACCATCGATCTTTCGGGCAAGTCGCTGACTGCTGCAACAATGGGCTTAAGGGTACCGGTAACTGTGAGGCAAGCAGAGGCCCCGCGGGGATTTGTTCCATCCTCCAGGGGCTCTCTGAGAGTCAGACCTGCTCAAAGGCGCCTGACAACAAAGGCCGAAGGTCATGTGTGCCAGTGCCCAAAAGGGGGAGGTGTGATTTTTAGAGTTTTTCACTCCCCTCAGAGTTTCATGGTCAACTTGAAGCCAGATCACGATGATCGAAAATTTGTTTTGAAGATAGGAGTTGTCTGGAGGTTTCTGAGCAGAAGTGTATAAAATGAGCTCCTGACTTGTGACAAAACCAGGGTAAATTCAGCTCAGCTCCCCAGGCTGCCCAGAAGGGGTTGGTATTCTTTGAAGACTTCTCCATTGTTCTCATTTTTGCCTCTGAAACCGTCAAATAAAAGTCCATTGTAAGAGAAAGATGGAGAGAAAGGTCAGAGCTGAAGGGTCATTACCTGGAGGCTGTATAGGAGCCGGGTTAAATTCTGTATGGCTTGTATAATCTGAAAAGTAAAATAAGAAAGTCAGATTCTTGGATTAAATTTTTTTTTAAAGCATTCTTTATCCACAAATGAAAGAGAACACAGGGGCATGATGTTTTGAGAGTAAGCAGCGCTTACCTCTGACTGTGACGAGCCTGGGAAACTTCTATATTCCACCTAAAATACAGAAAAACACGGCTATGAAGACCACTCGACTTTCTGCAGAGCTTCACACCAAACACTGCCCTCTCTACACTTGGTGAGGTCACCTACAGGGAGTCCCTTTCCTCTCAGGAATATGTGCCCATTTATAAACTCAATTTGTACCAACTCAGCATTTAGGACACTACGTGTCTCCCCACCACCAGTCTGTAACAACAGAAACAACCCGGATGACACGGAGACCCTCTAAACTCTAAGAAAGTGCCAATATTTACCTTGTGCAGACCACACTGTGCCTGGAGCTCTGTGCCCAGGTGGTAGCTGTCTGCCAGGCCAGGCGGGCCCCCTTGTGTCCTGGAAGCCACACTAGCAAGCTGGAGAGCCTCGTGCTTGGCCTCTAGCTCCCTGGCTCGGGGTTTGCCATTCACGACACCCACCGAGGCAGTGAGTGGGAAGTGAGGCCAGATGTGGAGAGTGCCCACAGGCGAGCCCTTAGCTGACCTGCTCCAGGATCTACCACACCTCCGAGACCCCTGGGCCTGGGGTTGCTAGAAGAAGTGCTATCAACACAGGGCATGTGGGACCCTCTGCTGCCTGCACTTGGGCTTTATGCCTCAGGCTCCCTCTCCTCCATGGCCCGAGTGACGGTGCGTGTGGAGACTGAGGGTGTCCGGTTTTCAAAATGACACTTCAGTACATTTGCTTATTACTCTCCTTATGAGAACGCAGGCCATTGAGTACCGACGCTTCATCTGTTTGTTCAGTGCTAGTGTCCCAGAGCTAAGAAAGATGCCTGTCAAGGGGCTGCCCCTCTACAAACATCTGTCCAGTGAATGAACACCGGCTGCCTTGGAGGATAGACTATGCTACATAAACGTTAGGCCTCCACTACACTCCTGGGGCGACGGGAGAGATGCAGGGTGCCTGTCCTCCTTCCTCTCAACTGAAGAGGCAGCAATGTTCTCGGGTGATGCTGGGCTTGGGGAAGAATTCAGAGCTGATGGGGGTGTGGTAAGCTAGCCAGCTATCTGCCACCCTTCTCACACCGGGAGTCTCTGCCCCCTCCCTCCCCCGACCTACCCAGCAATAGGCTGGACTCCCCAGAGGCCTGTGACCCTATGCAGAGGGTTCCCATTCCCCATTGCTGGGTCCAGGGTTCCGTGGCTCCCAAGCTAATCAGCCCACTCTGCAGTCCGTTTGGGAGCTTTCTACTCTTCAGCCTCGGTCCTGCGCATCCACCCGCCACTGCTTTTGCACTATGAAGATCATAGGGCATGGGGCTTTATAAAAATTAAAACCTAAAAGCAAAGTCAAAAAGAAATCTATAAAACTTAGAAGCCCGGACATGCGTTGGATCATGGTACCACGTGGCTGCTTAATCTCAAAGAACCAAGAGGTTTGAGACAAAGCCAGCGTGCTTCAGCGGCTATTTTCAATGGAATTGGCTCGCCACCTTGTGGTATATGTGCATAGCTGCAGCTGGCGATTTACACCAGGGG